CTTATATGCGCACGTAGTATCGTCTTATACGCGCATGTATCGTCTTATATGCGCACGTAGTATCGTCTTATATGCGCACGTAGTATCGTCTTATACGCGCACGTAGTATCGTCTTATACGCGCAAATACGCGCATGTATCGTCTTATATGCGCACGTAGTATCGTCTTATACGCGCACGTAGTATCGTCTTATACGCGCACGTATCGTCTTATACGCGCACGTATCGTCATACGCGTACGTATCGTACTGTACGCACTCTGCACTAAAATGTCGTCAGCACTTCCAATTCACGTCAAATTACCAGAATCCCCCATTACCATTCCAACTCATTTCAACAAAACAATGCAGCGAGCCATAATATATTTGTGTTATGAGAGTTAATTTTGTTTACCACCAGTAAACGCAATGAAAAAAAGTTCTTCAAACGCACAAATTCACTATCTACATAATTGAAGACATGGCAGGTTCGTAAACTGATAAGCTTGATCTAACCTTATCTTTAAACATAGATAAGACTTTATGGTGCGGAGTTGCAACAAAAACTACACCGGTGCACAGGCAAGTAGATAACAACACGAGGCATTTTATTAAACAATTTTCTTCCATCTAAATTGATATAAAGTGAAGCCAAGTAAGCTTCACTCAGGCAAGCGCTATGCTCCCAATGCATCCAAACTTCATATTTATAAGTTAATATTGAATGACTATTACTCGATCAGACTGCATTAACTTTCATCTCATCATTTCGAACATTAAAAAATAAAATAATCCGTCTATAATAACTGATTGAATAGATCAAACTAATTTCATTTGGGCCATATAGCCTTTTCACTTCTCAGTCACAAAAAATCTTATACTTCTCATGGAAAAAGGTGCTGCAAACAATAGAACGAATGCTCAAAAACAATGTGATCACGCAATAAAATAATATAGAATATGAAAAAAGAGAATGTTAAGCCAAAAACATAAATTGGATAGTCGTACCAGAAACGAGACTAAGTAACGGCAACGAAAAGAAGTAACAGGAACGAAAGGAAGTAACAGGAACGAAAGGAAGTAAGAGGAATGAAAGAAAGTAACAGGACAGAGAGGGTACTACTAAACGAGCAAGGAATACTGAAGCCGAGCCTGATATGTCACCACGAGATCGAGACCCTGCAGGACTGAGAGCGTATCCTTAGAGGATGGCAGGGTACGCGCTGGCTGGGGAAATGCCCCAGAGAGACGCATGCACAGATAAGCTACAGCAACAACAGGATGCAATTCTGCTTAAAACTCTTGCCCCACCTACAATGCGCTAAATCATGACGTAACAACTATCCATCCGACTTATCCTCTTACAAATAATACGTTAGATGATGACCTAACACCCATCCATCCGACTTACCCACATATAAATAATGCGTTAGATGATGACCTATAACAACCATCCATCCGACTTACCTTCCTGCAAATAATGCGTTAGATGATGACCTAACAACCATCCATCCGACTTACCCACATACAAATAATACGTTAGATGATGACCTAACAATCCACCCGAATTTTTAAACAAAATAAATCTATATGCATCACAAAAATATTCAGCAGGCAACAGCCTCGACAGCAAAATTTTTAGTAGAAAAATTTTATTCACTCTGAAATAACATACGAATTTGATATTCATATTTTGTTTCCGTTTGGGGGAGTAGAATGAGAGGTTTCTACAACGGGTTGTCTTCAAATTGCCCGAGAGTGACTGATGATATACAGGGTCCGCAATATTTATGGCAACGCATGTTTTTTGTTATTTCTCAATGAAACAAACAGGTGCATTGTTTTTTATTGGATGAGCTAGTAGCCAAGAATTACCTAAACAATTCTCAGACATATTTATTCAATATGACCACCCTTATTTTTAATGACGGCCTCCAATCTACGCGGGAAAGCTTCACAGGAGACACGCAGCATTTCTTGAGGGATCAAGTCCCTTTCTCGTGTCAATTTAGACTTCAAACTATCCAAAGAATCATGAGGTGTTCTGCAGACCCTACTCTCTAAAATTGCCCACACAGAAAAGTCGAGAGAATTCAAATCAGGGCTTCTTGAGGGCCATTCATTTCTGCTAATGAACGCTGGGATGTGGCCCTGAATCCAGTTTTGGGTCATGTTTGAGCCATGTGATGGGGCAGAGTCTTGTTGAAAACTCCATGGTGAGCCGTTGAAGTGTTTACGGGCCCAAGGTTACAACACAGCTTCCAAAATGTCCGAAATGTATCGCTGACTTTTCAATTTCACTCTTGAGGGGACAAAAACGAGTGGGGACCTCCCAGTGGCGGTTACCGCGGCCCAAACCATCACGGACATGGGAGTTTGACGTCGTGTTGCTGTTTTGGTTGCCACAGATCATGCATCCCGACTCCAAACTGTCATTTTGACGGTTAACGCTTTGTTCAATGTAAAAATTTTTCTCGTCACTGAACACCAAGTTGGGCAGCGTGCCATACTCGATGAGATCCAGAATGTGCATGGCATCTTTCGAGCCTCATTCGTTCACGACGGTCTGTTAGTTCATGCCTTGTTTGCATCTTGTAAGGGGAGGTTTTGAAGTCATCTTTGAGGACTCTACGCATTGATGTCTGACTGACTCCTGCTTCCGCAGCCAATTTTGCAGCTGAGCGACGAGGGTTTCTCCTCAACTTATCCCTCGTGTTTTTGACCAATTGTTTTGTTCGGACACTTCGTTTCCTTCATTTTTTTTTTGAAGGGTTACAATTGCATTTCTATCTACTGCCATAAGTAATAGTAAATTTAGACACCTTAGACTTCTGCAATATAAAATAGAGGAATTAATAGATGATATTAAGCTTCATTATAAAAGAAAAGTCTCCTAGAAATCAATTTATTTTATATAGCAAACATCCGTCGCCATAAACATGGCAGACCCTGTAATGCGTTCGGAATTGAGGGGAACTTCATATGCTGTTCGAAATTCGGATGTTAAGTCATTTAAGACTATCGTGCAGCGTTTTAAAGCACGCGCCCTCATGTGAGCTCTGAACAGAAACACGCAGCTTTACTGACAGCTTAGAACCAATTAACGTTAAAAAGTTTCGTATTTGCGGGAGAGATTAAATGGGAGTCAAGCAGGAACTGATTTCATCAATTAGTTGAATCCTGACAGCGCGACCACAAATGGTTGCTATAAAATGACTTTCACAGCTTCACGATCTGCATTATCCAAGTAGAGAAATAAGATAGATAAGAATAAGGATAATATGCTGAGAGGAATTATTCCACGAACTCCTCTTTTAAGATTACCCGAGGAATTTTTCCACGAACGAATTCACGACATAGGAATACACCTAAAATTAATTTTGTCGCATATTTCATTCTCGAACATGTAGATGAGCTATACTAGAGTAGCTTCAACTAGCATAATCGTTTGGATAGTTTGAAAGTTTGAAGTTAGAAATAAAACAGGCATAATAGTTTTGTACGCATTTACATTGCATTCGGCGATGATTTAACATCAGCGTTGAACCGGAGATGCATGGCGAACGTCAGTACCCGTAGGCGTGCTTCAAATAACTATAAAAGGAAGGAACAACCACTTGCATCAGTTTTAAGAGGTATGAGAATAAGGTTATGAGGCTTGTCGATTTGAAGCGCAAGAACTGAACAGGTGACGCGTCGTCACTATTAATTGGAAGTTACCTTGGTGACTCCTTAGTATCCTAGTATATGTTTCGACGTGCACGACACAGCACGTCGGGCTGTTTCACGGCCACAGCAGCTCGATTGGTAAAACTGTCTTTTTGCGTTTCTAATGCCCCAGGTGGGTGAGGAAAGAATTCCTCATTGTTAATTACTTGTTCAAAATCCGATGTTAACTAAATTCCAACTATTCTGGCTGTCAAGCGACAATATGAATACACATCATCCCAGGCACCAACAAGATTTTCAGTAGTTTTATGGACTGAAGACATTCTGCAAGCAGTCAATTTGCAATCGACTCCCTTACTTTCTGAAAGGCATTAAACTAACTGAGAGAGAACCTGGGCCTCTGACAGAATACAGTCTCCCTGGGTTTCTAAAGCGCTAGTTTTTCACTATGGCCAAGTCCGACGCATAATGAGGTTTTTATGGAAATCGTTTTATGCAGAGTCACTGTACCGATGGCCAGCATTATCGGAATGGAAGCGGTGATGTAGTTTGTAGGATTGTGGCTCATGATTACCACAGGAGTTAAAGCGTAGAGATGTTGTCTTCATTGATAATAAGGTAGCAGTGATTTTGAGACGTGTGCTATTAACGAGTTAGTGGTCCTTTGGTAATGTGTCATGCAAGTCTATGTCAATGTATATAGTAGATAGCGCAATTTTCCGGTAGAGGCTTTAATGTCGCATTCGAAATTTATGAGAAAAGCTTGCGGTGTCATCTAGGTGGATTGTGTTTTCGAGGTGGAGACTTTTATGAAGGAAGTGACTCAACGGTTCCGGCTACTTATTGTTGTTGTTTTTTTTTGTCCGGTAATATCCATACCTCCTTGTTGTTGTAGGGAGTGGATAGTCCTCAGGGTCATCATCGTTGGTCCAATATTCCATTAAGTTATACTGTTTCATCGCTGCTTTCGGTCTGAGTACGTCTGCCTATGTTCCTTGTAAAGACGTCACATAAATCTGGTGCTGTCTGATCCTACTTGCGTTTCGCATTTCCATCACACAAACTGCCTAAGCAGTAGATCTACTTTTTACTACAGTATATATTCACGAGAGGAAGATATAGAGGCACTAAAGATAAAGTCACAAGATCATAAGAGATTGATGTAGAGCTGTGTGAACAGAGGAGACAGCCAAGTCCAATATTCGAGCAGGGAACACTGTGGTTAAAAGACTGTAATACTGACCTATGAAGGAGGCGTCAGGCTCGGCAGGCATGAGGCGCTTGTAATACTGACCTATGAAGGAGGCGTCAGGCTCAGCAGGCATGAGGCCCATGAGGCGCCTGTAATACTGACCTATGAAGGAGGCGTCAGGCTCAGCAGGCATGAGGCTCATGAGGCGCCTGTAATACTGACCTATGAAGGATGCGTCAGGCTCGGCAGGCATGAGGCTCATGAGGCGCGTAAGGAGGCGGTAGAGCTGCGCCCACACGTCAACGGAGTCCGTCTTGCGGATGATGTGCGGCGCTACGAGTTTGGAGTGGCGGTGCAGGACGCGCGCCCTGAACAGCACCTCGCGTAGGTACTGCAGGGTCTTCACGTCGCGGACCAGCTCGCCCTACAATAGACACCTACATTAGCAATGAGTTACAAAAATAAATGGAAAAAATAAGTAGTCAATAGTATGTTGCTGGTCTTACAACACACGCAAACACAAAAACTCGTTACACCAAAAAAGTCATTGTTGTAGTACGTGAATTTACAACAGACAAGCAACAATGAGCCGAAGAAAGACTCGAGATATTCGCCAATAGCATTGCTAGGATCTTCCAAGCATCAGTTGATCGTAGCATTCACCAGACCACGAATGCAAGGGAAAATTTAATTAAGCAACTAAAAATTATTGTTGAGCTTTGCTTATGAATTGTATTGCACTTCACCTTAAAAAGATGAAAAAGATTGTATCAAGTCGTCAGAACCAATAGCGAAGTTACAGAATTTGTATTTATATAGTAACCTGCGTTACTGAAATAAACCTAGCTTTCAATCGTGCAGAAATTTTTGGCGGAAATCAACGAATAACAATACTATGATGAACGCATGCTGTGCTGCGAAAGAACAGACGCCTTTTATATATTTCTACCCCCATAGCCTCACAAAAAATAATATTTGCGCTGGGACTTTAAGACCACACACTCTACAACCTCACAGTAGATAATATTTGCGCTACCACTCCAAGTCCACACACTAACTTTGCCGGTCTGTGCGATAGAGCAGAGCAGGTACAGCGTCACTTCTGCCGTGTACTGAACTAGCGGCTGAAGGTATTTACCAATACGAGGCTCCACCTGAAATATGACAAACATCCATGAAAACAAACATCCAAAAAACAATATCCTTTGCTTATATTACTCATCTTCAGTGGCGAGGCTATATATAGTGAATTAAATCAGTTTAAGCCCTCGAAAACCATTCTGATAGTTCAAAGACACCCTATAGTGTCGGTATGATAAGTTTCTTTGGACGACGAGCGCGTCAAGTGATACTACAAGGGCCAAATAGGTCATAAATATACCAACACATGTTACACTATGTAGACAAGAGAGTGAAGAGACTCCCAATTCAATACTTTAGTGATCAACAATAACCATTACCACTGTGCACTGTAAGACACCACCAGTTGTAACCATCACAGCTGGAACTAACCTGGCAATCCAGATTCTGGTTGACACTCATCATAAACTGGTCGACACTTTTGTCCAAATCCAGTTGCTCAAGAGAGCTGCGGTTTTCCAGATATGCTGAAAGGAAAAATAAAAATCGCATTCAAATATTAATTCAGATTTCATTTCAAAGCTTTAGAAGCAGAGAGAATAATCAATAAACTTGAATTATGAGCAAACTTCGTAGCGCATGTCATTTGAGTCGCACAAACTAACATACCGACACTGTACCCAATTAGTGATTTAATTACAAATTCACTCAAATGTACAGTCACCATTTTGATACAAATTTTAATTTAAAAATCAATTTCAATGTAAGGATTTTTAAGTCAAGTTTTGACTGAAGAAATCATGATCGTAATGTTTGCAGTGAAACGCTGACTAAAGATTAACAGAAAAAGATGAAACAAATCACTCACAGGTCAACAAGGTAGAGGCGCATTTGTCGCTCAAACAGTCCGCTGTTACGGGCCTGAACTGCCGGAAAAAATTCAGAGCTGCCGACGCCTGAGCTTGAATCATGGTTTCGGTGGCGCGGTGCTGGCTGCTTGTTGAAAGTCTGAAATAAACACTGTAATTAAACTCTTACTCGACAATTTCGTGCCTCACATTGAACTCGGCAAGATAGCAGTGTGACCATCTAAGAATTCAGATGAGCAGTAATCCTATAGAATATGGATTCACTGTCATGCAGCTCACCTAAGAATTGAGTATTTTAGAAGCAGCATACGCGAGTAAAGCTTAGTGTGGTAAGAGGGGCCGTGAAGTGACAACGTGTCCATGAGTCTGTCCACGACGGTCATGACACTCAAGGGGGGCGTGTTGATGAGCAGTTCCCAGTAGTCCTGGCCAGAGACTAGGCTGTACTCTAATAGAAGTAGCACGCACAGCGGCCACAGATTGCCTGCAGTATAATAGCAGCGTTAACATGTAATACATGATCCAGGAAGAACAATCAGCTAACAGAAGTTACCAGCTACATAAAAGCAGCTCAACTTTATTAGTCCATTAGCTATCAATTCATAAATGTTATGAATAAATACGATTTATTTCTCTATTTTTGGCGTAATCGACATTCGTGCAGCCCAGAGGCAAGACTTGATAGAGCCGCAGAACAAAAATTAAAACAATACGAAGAAACAAAAATTAGGATGATGATGAGCAGCAACAAATGTTACATCACCAATATCAGTAGATTTGACAAGCGAGAACAAGCTGAGGGTGCCGTAAGAATCGTAGGACACGAGGGAGAGGCCGGTCCAAGTGTGTGCGAGGGAGACGGTGAAGGGGCGACCTGCAGCGCCAGTACCAAGCCCTCCTGAAGGCAAGGATGAACTGCCACGCTTACGGTCTTCTGTCACTAGGTTATAGCTTCCCATCTGAAGAGATATGGAGAGTAAGATGAGCATTTAATAATTTCAACATTACTGAGTGCTGACTTCGGGCTATAGTATGGTATTTGCAAATTGCATGCATAATGAAATCTTTGCCGTCATTTACGTGCGTTGAAAACGGACGTTATCCACGTAAATGCTTGCGTAGAGTGTACAACTAGTGTTTTATTTAGGCAACCTTTCTCTTGTTGAGAGACTTTCTCTTTTAATCTAATGACAGTATTGATCAAAATAATTTAATTCCATCCTTACACTCAAATCACTATCACGACATAGGTTCACAAATCTTAAAACCTGATTAATTCAGACAGAATAATTATAATTATTCATATTCATATTCCAATTTATGATTCTGAAAATGTACTCTCTAAAATAAGACAGAGGTGCCTCTGGGCTGCCGCAAAGACCTACGGGCAGGAGGGAGCTGAGGTTGAGGGCGGTGATGGTGCCGTCTTCAGTTGCCACGGAGATGACGTGTGGCAGTTGACACGCTTGGAAGAGATGTCGCTCGCAACTCCCCAGGCTCACCACTCGTCCGCCAGAGCTGCACCACTCACCACACAACACCCACGTCTGTCAAAGCACGTAACCTTAATTCTATGCTTAAAATTACATCATTCAAAGCAACGTGTGTCATTTCGGGAGACGGCAGAACAGTTATTCACGGGCCACGAGCAATGTAGCCGCACTTTCAGCTTCGTTTTAGGAATATGTTATCACAAGGCCTGACTTTGGGAAACATGTTCACGCGTAAAAAGAAATGTTTCCAACGTACGTGACAAAACAATTTCATGGGCATTGAAATTCAAACTAACAATTAAATTGAAAATACAAATCATTAGAGCCCTATAGCTAATAACAGCGACACTTCTACAGCGCAATATCTAGCGCAGGCTGCAGTTGTGCACGAGCTAGTCGAGTAATTCTGTTACCTTGTAAGTGATGCTGGACGGACTTGGCGCTGCGGTCTCGCTGCTCTTGAACAACTTGAAGACGGGCTGCGTCTTCTCCTCCAGCCTGTACTTCTGGACGATGTAACAACTTGTGTTCTTACCAACTGAGCTCTGTAATATAAATGTCTTTCCTCATTGATCATTATAATATTTTAATGTTTTTTTTCAAAATAACATGAAAGATACCTAAGCTCGAAAATTATTTGTGATTTAATGAAAACTGATAATTTCCCTCCAAATTTCATCATGCAGTTTCCCTCAAACGGTATCAAGTTTGACGAGTTGATGGCAATGAACTACACACACAATTCACAACTTTTGTCAAGTAATCCAACCATACCTTATTAATCTTTTAATTATTGTTATTATAAACATTTTTACTCAAGGTCAGCCAGTTTTTCTTCAGTAGACTCGTTTCTTAACTCAGCGAAATTAACAACATGATTTAGCACAGGCTCCTCCTACAGACAAGGTCAGCATCTCAGATGACAAGGACCTTGGAGTGAGCGCAGAACATTAGTACCCATACTGTATATATACGGCGTTGTTAGTTGGACGCTGAATACACATTATTAGGGACAATATAATCATGTTGATACAACGCTTTTTTGTCCATTGATTAGTCCCAAAGAAGATTCGATTAGTTACAAAATTTCCAATCAGCAAATGGAGATTAAATTGATTTAGTCAACAAGCATCGACTATCTTCTCAATGCCTCAATTCGGCGGGAACAGCATTTACCCTTACAATTTTGCATTTATATGGAGCGAGAACAGCAATAAACCTTATAAGTATGCATTGATATGGAGCGACAACAGTAATTAACCTTATAAGTTTGCATTGATATGGAGCGAAAACAGCAATAAACCTCTTAAGTCTGCATTGATATGGACCTTATTTTCGTCAGTAGCAGGATCAGCTGCAGCAGCAGCAGGCGCTGCTCTCTCAACAAGCACCAGCAGCAGCAGCGTGGGGTCGTCCCGCACAGGGTAGACCACCTCAGTGACGCGAGAACTGCCCGACGCAAGCTCACCTGTTGACAACACAGCATTAGTGAGATGGTACTTCATTAGGGAATGTTAGGACTAATCTTTTCGGTGAGTTACCATAATAAAATACTGATCATGAAATAAATAGTAAAAGTGCAAATAAGTAGTAGAATGGTTTGCTAGCGCTTCAGCTAACAAGCTATTTCGCGCCGGGTTCATAATATAACATCGCCAGCAAGGCGGAAGGTCTCAGTTATTAAAAATCTCAAGTTAATCATCACCCACAAGGGGCGGAAGGTCTCAATTGTCCAGCCCGCTGAAGCTGGCTGGAAAGAAGCAGCGTTAGCAACTCGAAGAGACGCAGTGACAAGAAGGGACAAGTGAAAAGGAGGGACAGGTGACAAGGAGGGAAGGTTAAAGGCAACAGAAACGAAGACACTCGAACAAGAGGTCACTTACACGGGACGTCGGCCGCCCGCACGAGAGAGACAGAGAAGGGAAGTATAAGGAACCCTACCTACATGACCGTTAACCCCACAACTGAGACCAACGGTCACGCACCGCGAGCTCCGAGGTATGAATCCTCCTATGAACGCGAAATCACATAAAATTTCTGACCAACACACACACGTCAGAAGTCCCCCCTGAGGGAAAAATGTAAGTAGAATTGCTCATTCTCGCTTAAAGTTCCAAAAACAACACAATATCTGCAAAAAATTCGATAACCATACACTTGATTGATAACGTGAAGAAATGAATGATCAGTTACGATTAGAGTCATTTGTTTCGAATTTCAGATGCAGGTTAATTGGTAAGACCTTATTTAGACTGGCACGTGTAATCAAATTCAAAATCCAGCGCATGAATCTTATCATACAGCTTTTCAACAAATACAAGACAAAATCTTCCCAGAAACTAGTCTAATAATATGGAGTCCAGTCATAAGTAAGGCTGATGTCACGAGTTTAATGAAGTGCCATGCCATGCTCCTGCAATAAGTTAATATTACTGTCCTGGCTCACAACTAACAGCATTAATCATAAGGCTTCTAGTGTAACATGGTATGCCATGCTCCTGAAATAAGTTAATATTACGTACGTGGCACCGCAGAGTCCGGGGGCTCGTGCCGGAGGTTGGAGTCAGGGAGCGGGGGCCGGTACGGGCAGACGCTCTCGCAGCACTCGATGCTCAGGCGCAGCTTGCCAGCGTCGTCGTCAGCGCCGTCTGCACACAGGCGATGTATTGCATGTCATGTAACGTAGTATATGTGAAGACTGGTACATGTGTCCTGCAGTACACCATCACGGGACTGCAGTACACCATCACGGGACTAGAGTACACCACAACTGGACAAACAAGGCATGTGCGTTAGGGAATGCCCCCCAGACCAAATACCCAACACCCCAATAGGTACTTAATGCCACAACTGAGACCCGCCATGAGACTGCAAGAGCCCTGCGGAGGGTAGCTCGGTAACCATACTTACTGCTAATACCACAAACGACTTCAGAAGATACAGGCCAGAATAGATCTTCAAGTGAGGACTAATCGCCTGTAGTTGCAACAACCTGAAAAAACGTTATCAGAATCCTCAAGGAAATTTCAACAAACTCTAAAGAATTTATTTGTTGTAATTAGAATGGCATTAGCGAGGTGCATGATACTCACCAGGTAGTGTCCGGCAGCCGTTCTCGTGAGCCTCGCCGCCGCCAGAGACAAGGTCAGAGTGAGCGAGGCACAACCGCCAGCACCGCACCACGTCAGGCCGCCACGCCGACACCGACACCGACCCGTCTGTACACGCACACAAATGTAGCTATCATCCTCGAGCTAAATTATATATTATAATCAAATTATTATTTTTATATAGAGGTATTTAATCAAATTACTTTAAAACACAAATTCAACAATATTTGACAGCAACGCAAGTAAAACGAGTGACATAAGACTTCGAAAAAACGTAGTGAAATGCTTTGAAAACAAGATTGGCTCATTTAGCTGTATAATCGTCGAAATGGCGCTAGATAAATGAAAAGACAATCTCAATAACATTTCGCCCTGACCAGGAGCAAAGGCGATGTCAGCGGAGGTGTAGTGCCCTCTGGAGGCGCCCAAGACGCGCCTCACGGTCTCCACAGCGTCTTCCCGCCATATGGCCACCACCAGCACCAGCCCTCGTGAGATAATCAAATAAATTCATGCATACACAAGGCTTTTAATGCTTCATAAACGTCACCAAAGACCTCATGGATTCCGTATTGTACATTTTAACACATTTTCTTCAAATACATTACCCGTTGTCAATGCTGTTCATGCCTAAGAGCCTAGTAGCTAAACATCAATCGTCACAGGTTCAGAGTTATTCATGGTGACAGGCGCATGTTTGCATACCAATTTTTCAACTTTAATCTTAAAATTTGCTCTTTCTCTAACTCTAATGCAAATTGTTCTACTATTTTCGAGTCAACACTTGGATAAATGCCTAGGAAAATTAGCGCTGCATGATTCAACATCCAAAAAAATCATTTATAGAGATAGAACAAAAATGATCTACACGTGACCTAAGAGCACAAGACTAGCAACCAAGGAGATAAGCTACAACCTTTATATCTCAAAGTTAATAAATCAGCATTGAAAAACTACGTTATGTGACACCACATTAATATCTAAAAGCTAGCTATGAGCAAGATAAACATGAGAAGTAACGCATGGCAAGATCTTACCTGATGCCGTGACCACCACGACGCCGTCTGTGGCGCAGCCGCCGGGCGCTATCAGTGACGGGCTGTGCTTCAGTAAAGTGAACTTCTCACTGTAAAGTGAGTTGACTTTCACCTCACCAAGGTTGATTTGAGGCTGAAAATCATTTCAATTATATAAGTAACAGCAAGAATAATACAGCATTTTAAAAAAATTCTTACATATAACATAACTATAATATTCATTAAAAATCATGATGATCGCACCTATCACCAACAGCTGGATTGAATGGTAATAAATAGACAATGATCAGTTGATATGAAGAAACAATAAACAAACAAATAATGCTCAAACTCATTAAATTCTGCCACTAAAAAGTAGAAGTAAAACTTTAAAAACTTAATGCAATAGATTTCGTTAGTTGTATTGCAAGAAGCTTTCCTCAATGTAGCAATATAACCAATCATATATTTAATTAGCTTGATAGACCGATTTTATCGTATCACTCATACATATAAGCAAGAAAATAAGACTCTTAGCAAATTAAGCCATTCAGTTTTCACGAGCTGGTCAGCACAACAGCACAAAGTTGCAGCACAAAACTCACACGCTGCCCATTGTGGAGGAAGCTGGCAGCCAGCACCGTCTCGCCTTCTAAGTAGGTCTCTGAGATGGTCTCAAAGTCTGGTTGCAAGGCACCGCATGTCTGTTCCAACAACCTGGAAATGCATCATCAAAACTTCAAAGAAATTTTAACAAATTACAAAAAACTCATTTGGTATATATGATGGTAATATCCTAAACATTTCCTTACAAAGATTTAATCCAAACTAAATTATTGGAAAATGATTGAAAATCTTATTTACCTATATCACATGTACAAAGTTAGTGACAGGAAATGATCACCTAGCTTTGTCAATGTTAAAATGTTGTTCAATACATTCTTCACATCTTAATTAGAATCAATTGTTAATCAGAAACATCTTAATTTGAAACATTATATACTGGTACCTCTTATTTTTACATTAAAATGTGAATGAAAATTCTAGGAAATTAATGGAAACAATACAAAGCCTTAATATAGAGTATAATTGGTGTTTGTAACCATGTCAGTCATTTCTCAGCAAGTGATTGCAACCTCATCATTATTCATACATATTTTGCACGAAAAACATCTAAATAAACCCTCTTGCATTACATATTATAGTTATCCATAAACACATACTTGACATAGCCTCCTTGAGTGACAACTAGCAATCTGTTGCCATCATCTGAGAACTTGAGGAGCTGTACAGGCTCACTGCACGGAGTTATTCTGGAGGGAAGACAATGATTTACATGGCAGTCTTGCTATGAACATTACACAAAATAAATAACAACAAAGAGCAATAAAAAATACACAACTGCAAGTTATTAGAGGAAAAACATGTAAGGGTTCCTTTGCAGGAAATTGAAATAAAATGCGTGTAATAACACAATTCCAGTATCAGATAAAGAAGCACAATTGCCACCCATTGCAGAAGACTAAAGTTACAAAGGAATGAAAAACTGGAAGATTAATTAGTCACATATCACATGACAGAAACAAAATAGGTGTCAGTGATCAGTGATCTTAAACTTAGACAGAATAAACTTTTTCTAGACTCCCTCAATATCAGTAATACATCTAGGTTTTCATAAGTTCTGCTGAAGAATAATCCAATTAGAATTTGAGTATATTATGAAACCTAGAAAAAATCAGTTATTACTGTTATTTATTTGGAAAAAATATACTTTATTTGAATTTTGAAATACTTATAATTGAAAATGTTTTAAATACAATATAATATGTTCTTCAAATTGGCCATCTGGTCTTGTTTATAGTGAGGCATTTGATGGACTCGCATTTCTTTGCATTTGATAACTACCTATGCCACTGCTTCCAATGCATGCTCTTATTGCCTACAGTGATATTCATTAATGAACTTCCTCACATCACAGCAGTCACTTTTCCTAAGAGAACATCAAAAACATTTTTAAAGTGAAAATATGCAGACAAATTAAAACCATAGAAATATAGGTATAGAAATTAGTGAATTGATACATTAATTTGAACCTATGTATCAAGTGTTTCAAATGTGCATGCAGTTCTATAAAATTAGAGTAAACAATGAGCAACACAGCATAAGCTAACTGAAAAATCCCATCACTCACATGGTAGACTGGTAAGGGCAGTTGAGGTCAGCAAGAGTAATGCAATAAATGGGCTTCTTTTTTGTGTCACCAGCAGGGCAGGCAAGTTGAGTGAAGGCCACCACATTCTTGCAGGACACGGCACACACTCTTCTGCAGCTATTGCAGGAGATTGTGCATGTTTCTTTAATAGATGTATATAAATAGTGAGATCTTTGACACTTGCAATGCACCATTGCTTCTAAAATATGTAGTGCCAATATAGTTAGAATAATGAGCTCAAGAAAAAAATGATATGAACATAATAAAATCAAGTCTGCTATAAGATGAAGATCCTACATGGCAAAATTTCCAAGCTGCATCACCTATCTTAAAAAATTGAGAGTCCATACAAATTCTCAGCACCATGAGGTAAATAAATATAAAAGTTCTTTACTCCCACAACGTTTAATGAGAAAATCTGATTCATATTGCAAACTGCACAGCAGGATAGTTCAAGCTTGTTAACTGAATTTTCATTCAAACAATTTATAAGTCAATACTTCTGAAGATAACTCACTCTTGCAGGGAGGCTGAAGTCGTAGGCTGTGTCACATTGAAGCGTAGGTCCATCATTTGACTGTTTTTGTCGGTCACAGTTGCTCCAGACTAAAAATTCAATGGCTCAAATGATAGATATTTATGTGAAATGAGCCATACAAAGAACTACAAACAACATGTGTAAACTGGAATGAAATTAAATTCAATGCAATGCATAGATTTTTAACTGAATCTGAAATAGAAAATTCTTTCCATCAGTAACTAAATTGTGAAACTTTTCTTTATTTTCATTAACAAATTTACCAAGTCTTATTTATAATACAAATATTCAGTAAAATAAAGAATCGTGTGAGAAAACACAGATACTAATTGCAAGTTAGTATTATTGGGAACTGTGTCTGGTGCAACAAACAACAACTTGGTGCTTTAAGGTAGATGTATGCACAATCTTGAATAATTCTACAATGTCAACCATTTTGCAACCTTATGATAATTACAAATTTTAGAGTTTGTTAAAAGTTTAATAGTTTGATTATCATAAGCTAAATTTCTTTACTGGCAGACTTTTATGGTTTCACAAAAATATTTTCATCACTATCCATCAGGGAATACTAATGCAAATGCCCCACTCTTCACTCACAATGAGTCTCCACCCAAATAAAATCTATGTTGTTTTGTCTGCTTCTTGAGGAAGTGGAGTCGTCCTCCATACACCTCACGGCTCAAAAGGCTCCCCTCGTCTGGCAAGCCAATCTGTAATAAATAAGGCTATTAGGCAAAATAATTGTGTCTTATGAGCGTTAAATTGTGCATCTGATTAGTCTACCGGTTAGTAACCCTTACCTAGCACTAATCTTGTCATTTGGACACAAGGATTCATAGGGCCAAAATGGTCCAGCCTGGGCTGGCGCAGCCTGGAGCATTCAATTTGTTTTCAGGGGGAAGTGACTAGATATTTACGAGCATACCTTGGACCCTACTACATATACTTTACCACTACTACAGTCCGGGTATGGGGGCAAAAAAGAATAATTTCTTGGTCCAAAGACTTATCTTAAGGACAGTGAGACAACCTCCAGCAACTCCCCCTTACAGGTGATGCACTTATATTCCTATGTACATCTGCAGGAGAGGTGCTGGTGGTTTGTGGCCATTTGGCCTTTTTGAAGTTCTTTGTCTAGGTTATTGGTTAGGTTTAAAGTTGCTTCAACTTTCCCGTTGAGGCTAAGAAAAGTGATACACTTTGCATAATTTGTGCTTGAATTTTATGAGGATATTCTCCTCCACCTAATATGCA